TATATAATATAATATGCAATATATAAATATACAATGTAAAACATATCATATCATATTATATATATTATATATATTATATCATATATTATATAGTATGTAGTATATAGTATACAATATATAATATATTATAAAATATACTATATATTATATACTATGTTATATATATATGTATTATTATGTATTCTATGCTTTTTTGTATATAATATGTTATATATTTTTTTTAATCTATATTCTATGTTATATTATATGCACACTTCCTGTAGACTCGTAGACTCTTATCATACAGCCCAATACTGGGTTCATAGGGACACCTACAAAATAAAGTAGGTTCTGATAGGTTAAGGTACTACCCATGTCAGTTGATGGACTTCCGACTTCGAGCTCCAGGTTTGCAGTGATCTCACAGCAAACGAACTCGGAGACGTTTGCTTCTCGTGTCTCTCATATGTTTCAGAGTTCCAAGTTGTGCTGTTTCGCCGTGCTGCCGGGGCAAACCGAGCGCAAGAGCCTCTCACGACAGTACTCTATAATTAACTACCGGTACCCGACTGGCTCCCCAAACAGAACCGAGCCTTGTCGACCGCAACGAGGCGGATCTGTCCCGTTGGACATTCTCGGCACGTCGTGCCAGTGCCATCGTCGTCTGCCAGGGATTGGCGGCTCTCTCCTCGCTGACACAGGAGCCGTGCCAGCTGCATCTGCGCGACCGCCAGGGTGCAGCCGGGCGCTTCGCGGCAGTCCACTCTGCCAAGCTTCACGACCGCATCATCTCCAGCGGCAACAATGCTTGGAGACACTGGAACGAGCCGTGACACGCTGCGAAGCATCAGGCTTTCGATGTTTGCCTCGCCAGACTCGAGGTGTAGGCAACCTGAAGTCGGAGCGTGGCAATGGGTGCAGCTGATCTGCTGCGACACGAGCTTTCTTTGGGCGTAGATGGCGCCACCCGTACCTTTGGCTTTACAATCCCTCAAAGAAAGCGGCGCAGCGAGCTCGGCCCCGGCTTTCACATAGACACAGCCACCGCGGCTTGCAGCGGAGCAGTTGAACACATGAAGCCGGGGGGCCTCTCCGCACCATGTCATGCGCACAAAAGGTAAGTTCAGCCATCCCTACAAGACATCCGAGCAACATCCCAGTCTAGTCTTCCACCCGGGGTATTAGGGATAGGAGCCGGAGAGAAACATTGCAAAGGGAAGCTTCCAGCATCAAAGGTTTTAAACCCCTTGCCTTGTTGTTGATCCACGTCGTCATGATGCCTCCGCCTCTCTCTGCCTGCGAGTCACGGATTGTCAGCGTGGCCGTCTCCTCCATCGGAATGTTGCCACGCGAGAAAATGCCACCTTGCCGTGGAAACGCTCCCACTAAACGAATCAGCAGCATGCAAGCCTCAGGACACCTAGAAACCCGGGCACGGTGCCTCCTTCGCGACTGGCTTTGCAGCCCTCAAGGCTCACCACGCCGCCGGACTGCGTGAAATGGTACGGAGTGTTAATGCAGCCTCCAGCGCAGGGCAGGTGTGGATTTGCCGATTGGGCCGAGGAAGCAGCAGCTTCCCGACAGTCATTCACTGAAAGCTCGACACGTTTGCAGTAACAGTTTGACCACTTTTTCTTCGTTTCACGATACCACAGCCAAATGTTTCCAGCGAATGCAGCACAGTGGACGGCTAGCTACGAGTCTCAAAACTCCAAAGAATGAACCTCAATCGGCTCGCGGCGGCAGGATCAGGCTGCGACAGAGCTCTTGCAACAAGCAACCACAGTACCCAGCAGACAAGAAGGCTCGTTCAAAGTGTTCTCGAGTTGGGGATCCAACTCTTGCAGGTCTGCGGGCGATGCTTATAGAAGCAATCCTGCCAGTTTCTCTAATTTCTGGGCGGGTCGTTTCTCGGGAGCTCCCGACAGGGCTCTTTACAGCAAGTGCTCGCAAATCGCAGAAGTTGCTACAACTACTGGGCTACCTGTTGCCCCGAAATCTCTCAGCTTGTATCAAGTTTAATTCGAAGAGCACTCCGCCGTAAAGTTTCTTCAGACTTCAAGCTTCCAGAGTCACCGTTAACAGTCAACCTGTGGACGTGGCTGCTGGCCGCTGGCTACGAATCTGAATACTGAATTTCACGAACAAGCATGTGGAAGAGGGCGGCATTGCTCGAGGCAATGAGCTGCCGGTGCTTGAAAGCTTTGTTCAAGATGCGGCTAGGTGCCAACATCAACAGTCAGTCAGCGAGAGCATTCTCGTTTCCTGCGGTTGGGAAAGACTGCCCATCAGCATCGGAGCGACGCACTGATGCATCATGCATCCAACGTGTTTCCGCCTTGAAGACTGAACACCCAAAAATTGCTTACGACTTGTTGCGCTACAGCCGCGGTTGCATCTGCCTGCAAACCTCTCAAGCCTTGAGAAGCCTTGAGCACCCTCCGCCCCAAAACTGCAGCGCCCATGACACTCTGCGTGCCACTTCCCGGAGGGGATCCCTCGTCCCCTGTTCTAGGACCAAGAAAGCGAGCACTCCCCCGCTGCCTCCATCCACCCGTGCCATAGACTCCCTGATGGTCACGCTGCCACTGGAGACGCTCATGTTCCTTGCATAGATGGCACCTGCACGTGTGCGGCAGCGTCGCTAGCCCGCTGCGTGTACTTATGCCCGAACCCGAAGCAGCTGCCTAGGCCCTAAACCGGAAACCATCAACCCTGAAACCGAAAGCGGGACTTCCGGGGCCGGGCCTGGGCCTGGTCCCCTCTATAATCCTCCCGCGACACGCGAGTGGGAGACCGAACGAACTTGCGAGCGTGTGGGCAAACCCCACCGCAAATTAAAAGTGATTCTTGTGCGAATGGAGATCTCACACGCATATGAGATATGAGCTTCTAAGTAAATGTTGCAGCCATGCAATATGACAAACCATTAAAGCTCGGTGGAGCTCAAAATCCCCGCCAACTCGGCGGAACCGCAGGTTTCCCAGAATTACACGTCGGATGGTTTCAAAGCAGCATCAGCGTACCCAAATGTCAGACTGAAGAAGCACCAGCTGCTGGGAGCTTCTACAAAAGCTTTCACAACCAAAGCTTGTGTGCATACTGGTTGATAGTTTTAAGCCCGCACCAGCATTCTATGCTTAAACAAGGTAGTTGCAAGGGAATCGGGTCCAGGCTTGAAGCATCGACCGGATCTCTCATGCTAACGACATGATCTTATACTGTGTCGGCTGTCCAGGCGAGAAATCCGGCAATGAAAGGCGGGTTGACCTTGAAAAGCAAGCAAACCTTCTTCCTTGAACCCAGAGTCCGCCCTCGGCCAGCAAGGAGTCACCGCCTACTTTGCACTCAGCCCGGGAATCAGCCCTTGACACCAACATTTCTGCAAAGGCCTGTTCTCTGCCATTTTAACCCTGCACGACAATGCTGTAGCTAAGTCGGCTCGGGCAAGGCAAACCTGGCTTAAAAAAATATGACTTGCTGCGTTACTGCAGGGGCAGCATCTGCCTGCAAACCTCTCAAGCTTGCACCCAAAGAACCCTCCGCCACTAAGCTGCAGCGCCCATGACGCTCTGCGTGCCACTTCTTGGGGGGGATCTCTCGTCCTCCTGTTCCAGGACCATTAAAGCGACCCACTCCCCCGCTGCCTCCGTTTTTCGAAGCCGTAGACTCCGCGATGGTGACACTGCCGCCGGAGACGATCATGTTCTCGGCACGGATGGCGCCTGCACGCGTGCGGCAGCGTCGCTCAACCGCTGCTTATACTTATGCCCCGAATCCGAAGCAGCTGCCTAACCCTAAACCAGAAAGCCTGAACCCTGAAACCGAAAGCGGGACTTCCGGGGCGGGGACAGGCCTGGTCCCCTCTATACTCCTCCCGCTACACGCGGGTGTGAGACCGAACAAACTTGCGAGGTGTGTGGGCAAACCCCACCGCCAACTCTAAGTGCGAATGGCGATGGTGCAAACATATGAGATATACGAGCAACTGAGTATTCATGCTGCAACCATGCAGTACGAAAACTGACTATTCAATATTCAAGCTCTCTGGAGATCGACGCCCGCCAACTTGGCGGAACCGCAGGTTTCCGGGAAGTACACATCGGATGAAGTATTTTGAAAGCAGCATGCGCAAACACGTCAGACTGAAGAAGCACCTGCTGCTGGGAGCTTCTACAATTCTACAAAAGCTTTCGCTACCAGAACTTGCGCACGTGCTGATTGAAAGCTTTAACCCCGCACCAGCATTCTATGCTTAACAAACGTAGTTGCAGGGGAATCGGTCCAGGCTTGAAGCATCGACCAGACCTCTCATGATACGGGCATGATCTCATACTATCGGCTCTGCAAGCGAGAAGGCTGGTGAAGATACGCAAGCTGACGACCTTGATATGCAAGTTGGCCATATTCCTCACAATCGGCCCCGGCCAGCAAGGACTCACTGCGTATGCTTTGCACTCAGCCCAGAATCCGCCCT